GATTTTCCATCCAAGGCTCTCGATTTCTGCACCTTTTATACATAATTGTTTTGCTCTTATCTCTTGCGTGCGGCTGAACTAAGTTTTTTTTTTTTACTTAAAAAAGGCAGTTTTTAAAAATAAATTAACTCTGTTTTTAATTTCTTTAAACGAACACACCAGGCTGTGTCACTGATTAACCTCGCTTTTTCGAAGCCATGTTTCTCATATGTTGATCCTAAGCATATATTCGAGGCCTTGTGTTATCTTGTTTATAAGTAACGTTAATTAACACAAATATGCAACTCATGCAGCATTTTGCCAATCAACCCAATAATTGGCTAAAAAGAGAATAAGCTTATTTGTATAATGATTTTCTGTATTATATATTTATGTCTCTTTCAATATGTCAAATTTACATTCTTTGACTGCTTATTGATCCTCCCTTTATTTCATACTTTTCTCCTTATTTCCATCTCTTTTCTTTCTTTTTCATTTCTTTATTGCGATTCTTTGTTCTTTTTTTTTTTAACTTTGCTTTGAAAAAATGGTAAATCAGAATAAGATAAATGGTCTTAATATGAACACAAAGGAGAGTTACTCACATATATGTTTATTCAGATAAGGGACATACGAGATGCATGTAAAAGTAAGAAAAATGCAGATAGTGCATACTTTTTGATGCGCCCACTAAACACAGATTTTCCCTTTTTTTATAGTTATTGCCGAAGAGCATAAGGGTAATAAAGGAAAGAGAGAGAGATTATCTGAGGTGCTTATATTGATATTAGAAGATAATCTCAACAATAGTGCCTGTGATAGACAAGTACAGACACAAAGAACAGTGGCGATCATAAAGCCCGATGGATTATCATCTAAGCAAAAGATCATGGAGAGAATTCAAAGCAAAGAGTTCAAGGTATTGCAAGAAAGGACATTGCAATTGACAAAAGATCAAGCAAAAGATCTCTTTGAAAGTCAAAAAGACTGTGAGGACTTTGATAAACTAGTTACATGGATAAGCAGGTAATTTGATAAATTAAATATAAACAAATAAATCTTATTGATCTTCCCTAGCTCTGAAATCTGCGCGCTACTCTTGGAGAAGGAAGACGCAATTGACGAGTTTAAATTCTTCTTGGGGCCTAGGAATCCCAAGAAGGCTAAAAAGAAGAAGCCTGCCTCGTAAATAGACATATTACAAAGAGCATAATTTCCCCCTTACATTGTTGTTTGTGTTTTCTAGCCTTCATGCCTTATTTGGTACAGATTCAGTTCATAATGCCGTAGACGGAAGTGATTCTGTGGAACATGCTGAAAAAACTATTAGATTTTTATTTAATGGCTGTCAGAAACAACCAAAGCAAAGCACGTCCAATGCATCTGAAGAAACTAAACATGAAGGCATGAGCGACCCTCTTCCATCTCCTATTCCTTCTGCAGTGTTGAGAACAAATATTGCATTACAAGCGGATGAAGATGTGCATACGACTTGTATACCACAAGAACCATCAGAAATATATATTGCTCCTGTTGAGAAAAATAAGCCTTTGCATAGCAATAGTAATGCAGATGCAAGCGAGAAAACAGAAAGACACGGACCTGAAGAGCCCGAATTTACCCAGGTTGCTTTGATAGAGAATAGTATGCAGCATGAAGAATCAGGAATGGTTGCTCAAGTTTCAACTTCAGCAACAGTTGATAACGCAGTAAAAAAAGATAGAGCCAGTCAAAATCAAATTGTAGCTGAAATAGCAATAGAAACATCGCCACAAGACACAAATGATATGGTTTCAAAAGAAGCAGAAAATACAAATGATCAACATACAAGGGAGACAGAAAGCACAATTGATAAAAAAGATGAACTGTCGAATGTAAAGAAAGAAAGATCAAAAGAAGAAACGCAGGGTACAAAGGGGAGCAAGTCAAAAGAGGGAGCGACTGTCGCGATAAGGGCTCAACAAAGAGCAAGCACTACAAAATCTCTTCTAAGACAGCCGTCTATTAAGATTGCAAATGTCGTTGATGCTACACAAAAGCCTGTACACAGAATTGAACGTAAGCCTGTGCCAGTGACACCACCCAAAGATGTGAAAAGCACCAGTAAAATTGCAAAATTATCGCCCATCATGCACAAAGAAGAAAGTGCTACAGGGAGGCCTCCGACAGAAAATGTACAGAAAAAAAAGCCAACAAAGGCGTCAAAACACTTGCCTAGAGTCGCTCTCTTAGCCAGACAGAAGCCCAAACAAGAGCCTAATACTAAACCTAATGTTGAAGCTAAAGAGGTCAAGACGATCAAGAAGAAAGTATCAACCAAAGAGTTCATTTCAAGATTGACGGCTCCCACTGTCGCTAGTAATAACAAGAAACTCGCAGCCAATCAGGTTTCAGCTGCTCAAAAGATAACACCTCAAACAAAATTGAATGCTACTGGAAAGTCGTCAAAAGCTTAATTCTTTGAACAGGCGAAAATCCTAGACATAATTTCATCTATACATTCAACCATTAAAGCATTTTTAATATTCCCATTTACAATAAGCCTTTTATTATATAAAGAAAAGTATAAGAGAGCGTATTGATTCATTATTCTTTATTTGATTACTATTTAATGAAGTGTCATAATTAAAAGAGACAGTCAAAAGATAAACCAAAGTGTAAAAGCCATCTTTACTCGTTTAAATAAAACTATACGTCATATTTTACTACTAAAATGAGGAAAAGTTAAAAGCCTCGTCTACTATGATACAACAGGCTTTGCAAAGAGTGTCATGTTGGGAATTGGCTTTGTAGTCACCAATTGTATCTTTCTCACTTTGAAGCCTGGCTTTTCAAAGAATTGAATACGATGGAGTAGAATAGATAGGATCACTTTCATCTCTAGCATTGCAAATCTATTACCGATGCATTGGCGAGCACCAGCCAAAAAGGGCATGTATTCATAAGCGCCTCCGAGATGATCCCCCTTTTCCCATCGTAAAGGGTTGAATTTGTCAGCATCTTCACCCCAAATTTCCTTAGATCGGTGAGTATAAAGAGGCAAAATATGGAAGACGGTGCCTTTTGGTATAGTATAGTGACCAAGAGTAACAGGTACACGATTGACACGACTTGTACGGGGAGCAGTAGGAATATAACGAAGTGTTTCACGGCACACATAGTCAAGGTATGAGATAGAGTTGAGATTTTCATAGTCAAATGAGTTTGCATCTTGGAAGAGCACACGCACTTCTTCTCTTAATCTATCTTGAACGTCTTGATGTTGTGCAAGCAGCCAAAAACACCAGCTTAAAGTGCTACTTGTTGTCTCATGTCTAAGGTAATATAAGTTAATATGCGCTCTATGCAAGTGTTTTTTATATATCTTACCCAGCAGCTAAAAAGGTTAAGCAGTGGTCTTTTAATTCTTTCTTGGTTAATCCCTTTCCGGATCCTACGTCAATCAAGTCCACCATTAAGGCCAGCAAATCTTTGGGTCGACCATTCATATCGGAAGCTTTTTCGTTCTTTGATCTTTCAATGCCTGCCTCTACCAAAGCCTCAGCTTCCTCGTGCAGCCATTTTAAGCTTTTGATCATTGTAAATAGGCGCTTTGATGGTAAATATCTTATAAAAGGAAAGTCTACTTCCCAGACACGCTTCCAGGAAAAGTCGTCATTGAAAATGTTTAGATATGCCTTGCTGATCTTATGTAGTCTTTCTGTACCATAGTCTTCAACCGACTTGAAGTCTTGTCCAAAAGCAGTGAGACCAACCACATCCAAAGCAGCAAGCGCAAATCCAAGGGAGACATCAATTTCAGTATATTCTGATTTGCTCTCAGTTATCTTTTTGAGCCATTGATCACGGAGCTTATAAGCTGGAATAGTCATGAGAGGAACCATAGAACGAATGGAATAAATAGAAAATGCAGGATTCAGCATCTTTCGTTGTGCACGATGGACACTTCCCTGTAAAGCAATGGTTAAGCTTCATGTGTATTCTTTTCATATTCTAGTATTTACCTCAACAACCAGCAACCCATCACCCGTAATACGACGAATAAAACCAGCAGGTCCGGGAGGCTTTTCAAAGTCGTATACTTGTAATGTCAAGATTTGCTTGACCAATTTTGGATCAGTTACAATCACTCGAGGTTCATTATAGTTATGATGCACAGTATAAATACCACCGTACTGCTCTGTCCAGCGTCTGAAAGGAGACTCATCGATATTTGATGTTACGATATCAAAATAATTGCCCATGAACGGTATCCAACTGACGCGAGGACCTGGTAGCCTGTTGGCGGGATGAATATAGAGCCTGTAGATAATCATCTTGTATAAAAGATAGCTTGCTAATCCTGATAGACCCAGCGTGGCAGCCCATTGTGTGTTTGACAGATACAAAGGTTTCCAATCTTCAATCAATTGGATCATATAGTTTTGAATGGTATTAAACATCTCGTATTTCATATTGAAGAAAGAAAGGGATGATTTTCCATCCAAGGCTCTCGATTTCTGCACCTTTTATACATAATTGTTTTGCTCTTATCTCTTGCGTGCGGCTGAACTAAGTTTTTTTTTTTT